GGAAGGAATTTTTTTTAAGGAGGTAAAATCATCGAATGACTGCTCCCGCCTGGGTGAGGCGGGAGGGAGTGTCAGACTCTTACTGACTGAAAACCAGGGGCGAAATCCAAAACATCGCCAGTAAGCAAATGGCTGGTCTGGAAAAAAATAAAAACAAATGTACCTACTCAATCTGTCATCCAGCTTAAATTAGGGACACGAAAACAGTACATTTTTACATATAATTCTGACATTATCATTAATAATAATTCGTATTGCACAAGCACACACTAATTAACTGAATCATAATAATGTACCGTTAACCACAACAATAGTAATAAGCGTTTAATTGTCAAATTACTTGAATTATGGCAACTCCTAGTATTAGTGGAGACTTGATATCTGGGCGAGCCTATTGTTATCCGAGTCGCACTCTCACCGGGCACAATAGGGATAAGGTATTTCTTATCTTGTCGTATATTGCATCAACACAACAAATTAAACAATCCTTATCCTTACTATTATAAATGGAAAAGTGAGTTTGTTTGTTTGTTCCGCTTTTACGCCGTAACTTCTAAACCGATTGCTTTGAATTTTTGGAGGCGTAAAGTTAGAAGTCCGGAATAAATAATAGGGTACTTTTTATCCCGGAAAATTTTGATATTTCCGAGGGAAAACAAAAGAATTGGTATAGATGGCGCTGTGTGTATTGGTATATGTCACGTAGGCTACTTTTATCCTTTTATGACGCGAGCGAAGCCGCGGGTAAAAGCTAGTAATAGATAAAAAAACAAATCAAAGTTTAGGAGTGGGAGCTAGCTACGTCATTTCTCGTATCTAGGCGCATTTTGGACTTAGGTATGACGTAGCTACCCCAGTCCCAATCTACGTCATTCTAACTAAGTGGTTTCGTAAACCTTAAGACTTTTTGTAGTAAGACTGTTTCTGTAGTAAGAATGCTTAGATTTGAAAGCATTTAAAACGACGACTACTAAATCATTGCAAGCTAGAACCCCTCACGACTCTCGAAACCAAATGGATAAGCCATAAGTGTTCGAGGATAAACACCACTTTTACGGATTCACGGATTTACAAAAAATACAAGTTTTTACGTAAGTATAACCTAGTGGGAATACTTTGAAGTGACGTGAATGATAGCTTGGAGTTAGTTAGTTCCGAGTTCCTTGTGCTTGTAAGCTTGCAACCCACTTGACAATGCATACTCCTCGTGACATCTGACATCACTTAAGAACATCTTTACTTTACACTAAAATTTAATGCCGAGAATATTTTACTAAACTTTTTAAGTTTTAAATATTTTTTTATGTAAGAGGTATTTAAGCAGATTGATAGAAATTAATAATTCACAATACGGAAGTGAAAGGTAAACTAATCTCGCCGGACGACGCCGGACGCCACGCGACTTTTGAATTCAGCGATTGAGCGAAAACACAATACGTCCAACATAAACGTTACTAAACTGTCTTATCTAAGTTACAATTGTTCAAAAGTCCCGACCCGAGGATAAATGCATCTCAATCAAAAAATGTATTGAATGAAATCGGTTCCTTTTTTCAACCGGGAGGTTACATACGGTGCTACCCCGGTAGATAGACAGGCGAAAATCATAAAACACCGTTTTACGTCGGACAAGCTAATACACATTACGCGGACCCTGACAGTTCTCTATGTCCTAAAATATGTTTACTTCCTCTGACATGCCACAAATGCTTTGAATCTAAGCTATACAGTTACAGTGTGTGTCAGGTGCTAAATATAAACATAATAGATGGGAAACTAGTGCTTCGGTAACACAAATTTCCCACGGTCCCACGTAAAACCCAGAGAAATGGGTAACTTGAAGATAGCAAAACCATCACTACCTAGGTACTGGATACTTGAGTAGGCTGGAATAAAGTCAGGCGAGTTGTCATTCCTACAGAAGTAGGTACCCGAAAGTTTACAACTATCTTGGAATTCTATCATTGGTAGTAATTTGTGTAGGTCAATAATTACATACATACATAGGTAACACAAAATATGACTATGAATAAAATGGTGAGTGTAACGTTGCGGTTGCAACACAGCGGGTTCAACGATCGTCGGAGACACCGTATCGAGTACTATTATAACAGGACTCCGGCATCTGCCAGGGTTCGCGTAACGCATACGTAATAATTATGAAATTATTTATGCTGTTATACACAAGTCAAGTGTAGGCTTTATGAAATTGTGATATTTACGAGCATATAATGAGACATCATCAACAAATGAACGCAGTGCGTACCGATTAACTAACACCAGAAGGTAGTTAAGAAGTATTTTCTTCATAATTATTTGGGTGTAGATGAATACTATGAAAGAATTTTTACAGTAATGAATGAGTTTATAAATATTGAAATTATACAATTTTAGGCCCTTACAATTTAGCAAGCGAAAGATAGTAGATGTTTCGAAATGATCAAATCCTATTGATATTCAACTAATTAACTAGAACAGAACGGTCCACGATTATTGATTTATTTAGCTTTTGAACTCGAGGGACACCAGCTGTCGGGAGTCACAGGTTGGGGCGCCACGCACCGACGCAGACGGCACCTGCGCCCAAGTGCGCCACACCTTTGTGCCTTTACTATCGACTACACGACGATATCGTTACAAACAATACTAAATATAATTTAGATCCTCTCCTGCACGACAATAGGTACTTCATTAACTGGGTTTACTTGTAAGGCAGAATTTAGCAGACGGGTCGCCTGATGGCAATCGGAAAATGCAATGCCAGAAGAGTTTATAAGTCCCATCATTTGACGAATACATGCATTTGTCAAAAATATCGATGCATTTGTCATTTGTAGGCCGCCTATTGTTTGTGAAAGATGCATGCATTCGTCAAATGACGGCACGTAGATAATTATCTAGTTCCCCCAAGTGTGCTGCCCACTTTTTATGAGTTTTAAGGGCTGAAAGTAGCACCGCAGTTACAGAGCGGCCACTGGTACTAACTGTCTACTTTTATAAAGTTTCGAGGACAGTCTCAAAAATTCCGTTATTTGTTCTTAAGATATGATACAATGGTTGCATTGTCCGTCAACGGTATAATGGTACCGTTCCAGACAATATGTGTCTGGCCCGAGGTACCTTCGCAACTGTCTCAACTTGATATTAAAATTGTTTACTTAATATAAATACTACCTACAAGTGTTTAACATCTTCAAACGATCTATGTCCGCGTTACTTGTTGATAATGAAATAGAGGAATTTACCGAATTATCTTTAGGTGCCTGTAGAGGTATTATCTTTACAAGTCCGCGAGAAGTCAAGTTAAGTAGAACCTGCTTTTAATGAACTTCAAGCAAAAAGCGTGTTTCCTGAGCACCTTCACCTTATTTCTCTAAAATGTCTGTGTCAACAAGTCGGAAACAATAGGAAAGTGATACATGCACACTTTCCACTTGCAAGTGAAGCATCAGCACATTACACCGGCGCAAGCCGAGCGGCATAGAGTACGACGCGGACAATGCGCATGTGAGCTGCTTTCATTGAGTGAGAGGCCGCCAAAAGTAGCGCTTTTCTCTTGTCTTAACTGTTTTACTTTGTAGACTGCTAATGACTCACAAGACAAGTCACATTTGCTTCGAGACAAAACTCGTTTTATTTAGGTATCTATCGTAATAATCGTGGATGTTCCATATTTGACATCTCAATTTCCTAATTAATATTTGGACATCTTACTTTGCAAACGTGTCATGAAATATTTTCTTTTCCTAACTCAGAAGAAAATCGTAAAGAATAAGTACGCGTCACGTTCGTAACGGGGCGCCGCGCGCCGCTGTACGCCGCCTTATCCATCACTGCATGTCAGTGCAGGTAGTGTTGTGATTCAGCAACTAAATCTTACTTAATATTTTAGTTAAATCTGAAACTCTATAAGCCTCATTTGGGTATTTCATTGGAAATGAAAAATTCTCTAAATATTATACCTAATTGCTGACCTCTTAGTATAAATCTGTGACTTTACTGATACAAGAATCATGATGCTGTCCCATAAATATGTTTCAACATAAAATAAACTTTTTCTAGATAATAAATCCTCAGTGCATAAATAGATGGCACTGGACTAAGTACTAGTTGGGCTACACACAGGGAGACATGTGTTTATGTTTCATGTTTGTTTGTTTATTGTGAGCTACTGAAACTAAAGAATTTTCAAATGCATGTGTTTGTTTATAGTATGCCTACATATGAAAGATGACTTATGTCAACAACAGACATTATACCATCTCTTTAATCTCATGGATAATATTATGAGTTTATGTGAAAAGTAGTTCTTATGAAACCTATCTGTAGGCAATTGTAAGACCTACTTAGTGTTAGTGGTAGTGGTACTTAATGGTATGAAGTACCTAAACCAGCCCCTTACCTTTGTGGTTTTGTGTCAGAGGTTTGTGAAAATCAGGTTAGGTTAGAGATTCCTTACAATTTAAAAGAAGTGGGTGAAACTGGGCTTAAGTCATCATAATGGTAAGGTTACACATTTAAACTTGATATTGTGATAAGAGACAGGTAGATAGACAATGTATTTATATTAAAACTAGATTATTGTAACAGCTAGACAACCCTCTGCTCCCCTTCACTGTGCTGTATTGAAGGTTGCATCAATGGCTGTGACTAGAGTTTCACTCAAGTATCTGCATTACTCAATTTTATTAAATAAATTAGTTACATTTGGTAACTATCTGGGTAATTACGTTACAAATCTTACTCAAATATTGTAAACTGATGTAGAGATTTTTATTTTATAACTTATACCAAATTCGATTTGTGTTCGATTCGATTAAAGTGCACTTTAAACTGTCAAACACCAAGCGGTCACCGGTGACCGCAACCTATTGTTCTATAATTGTGTCTGCAAAACCGGTACTCGACGAGTTAATTTGATTTGCCCACAAATAACAAAATTGGTTTAAAGAAAAAAAAATCATAAAATAGGTATCATAAGAAACTAAAAGAGGACCAACCTGCTAGTTGTGTTGGGCCGCGTCGCCTCCAAACAAGGTCCACCTTCATTATGTTGAAATAACAAAACACAATAACTTTTCATCTACATGTAATAAATCAATTTAATAAATTCATAATGCACTTGTTTGAAACAACTCAACGTTAATGAACTTAATTAAACGTTAGAATAAAACAAAATAAAACTTTTGATGTCACGAAAATAAAAACTTAAAAAGAAACATCACCACCACAGAATGAAACTGAACAGACTGACACACACAGACAAAAACTAAAATCAAAATGAATGACAATGACAGTACAGCGGGGCACGGGTAGGCGGGCGCGGGGCACACGAGGTGAGGCATAGAATAGCAACATTACGGCAACGACAACGTTGTTATGTTTGTGTGAGTCATTAAATAACGTGAGTAAGTTTCATAGAGCTACACGCTTAGTCGAATAACCAATGAGTCTACATATTCTAATCAAGTTAATGTTATAAGTATTAATTATGATTATAAGTTAGTGTTATTTAAAACTAATACCTGGAATTAATATAAAAAAGTTATGTCATGTTTAGGGATACCATTATTATTTTTAATAATAGTGTCCATTACATTTATATTAAAGTTGTCTAAAGAGCCTCTGCGCAGTTGGCTTCAGCCCCTCGTACGCCTCCCAAATGACCGGGTCACCGGGACCCTGTGGTCCCGTGAATGGTAAAGACATACATAATAATAATAATAAAAACATTTATTAGCTTTGTTTTTTTTTTCATTTGAATTATGTGACAACACGATAGTTCGATAAGTTGGATAATATTGTACTTGTCTATCAAAATCTATTATTATTTTATTCTTGTCAATAGTGTTCTAATATATAATTATTTAACTAATGATGCAGGAAGTACAAGGGGGAACAAACAATGTTCTGTTTACATTATTTGAGAAAAATGTGGAAAACACCTAAGCGATCATTTTTGTCTATTGCAATTTCCAATACGAATATTTTGACATTACAAAAAATGTTGCTATTTGCCAGATTTCATAAAAAAATGGCAGCCTTTATGTCGTAAGCTTTTCTTTTCTTTTCTACAAATGAAAAGTTTTTATTAATAATTTATGGATGATTTATAATGCCAGTAGAAGCAATCCAGATGGTTAATCGGATTTCTGAAGCAATTATTTAGTTTATATCGTTAGTCATGTACTTCCTAATGGCTGTAAGTACTACGTGGTTATGATTCTTTTGTATTGCTTTATATTATTTGATTTGCACGAAAATAAAACATTTTCACTTTTCTCAGCCGTCACTTGAAATGTTGTAATGTATAATACCTACGAGTTTTCTGTAAATTGTTTTTATTTTAGGTAGCGTAAACATCGGGCTACATATGCAAATGCTGAACGGATCGAACGATACAAATAGTTCTGATACAGCACCTAATAAAGATACCATGAGTGCCGGTAGTGCAACTTTGGACCGTGAGCTAGCGAGCACGCGCCGCTTGCTGTGGGGGGACAATGTGAAGGAAGACGTATTTCGGCGGTGGGCGCAGGGCTTCCAGTTCAGTCCAGATGAGCCCAGTGCCTTAGTACAACTAGAAGGTGGTCCATGCGCAGCCATTGCGCCAGTTCAAGGCTTTTTGCTCAAAATACTTTTATCAGAAACACCTGGACACAGTTTTCAGGATTTGACATCGGAAAAGTGCAATTCTCTGCTTGTTAGGGCTGTGTGTACAATATTAAGCCAGTGTCTAGCTCCTAAGTACAATGTTGCTGTGCACCGGAAGAATGAATCAGATGCTGAGACTAGCGGAGGCAATAACCACAGTGTGGAAGAACAATCCAGTTCTGTGTATGATACCTTAGAACAATTTCACCGAAAAATTGAGGTGCATTCATTTCAGACATTATCTGAAGTGGAAGCTTTCTATACAAGGAACATTAGAATATTGAAGGACAAGTATGGTGTACTACTTCTTTTGTATAGTGTTATTCTCAGCAAGGGGGTAGCTGTTGTGGAAGCAGAGCTTGCAGAATTGTCTGACCCACTCATACATTCAACATATGGCTATGGCTCACAGGGACTAATTAACTTAATGCTCACAGGAAGAGCTGTGGCGCACGTGTGGGACCATGACCAAGTTGTAGGGGGTTTAAGGCTACGTGGGATTGAAAGACAAAATGATATTGGTTTCCTTACTATAATGGAGCATATGCAGTATTGCACTGTTGGGTCATTTTACAAAAATCCTAAACATCCTGTGTGGGTGTTGGCCTCTGACACACACTTAACAGTCTTGTTTTCTCTGGAGCGACGATTAGCTGCACCTGAAACAGTTGGTGAGTCAGCAGAGCGAATTTTTCGTTCATTTGATCCAGAAGGAAATAACTTTATTCCATCAGCAGCTCTCCAAGATGTACTATGTGCTGCTGACCTTGTAAGTGAACCTGAATATGTAGAGCTAATGAGACGAAAGTTAGATTCTGAGAATTTAGGCATTATATTATTAAGTGCATTCATGGATGAGTTCTTCCCTGGATGTGAGCGTGGAGCTCCAGATACATTTACTTTGCACCATTACAATGGACTGCTGCGCAGTAATCCAGGTGCAAGAGTTATTTTCCGCACGGGTCGTGCTGCGCTATTGGAATGTCCTATGCGTGCAGCCAGCACTGATGCCATGTTGACGTGCCTACAGACCAAGTGGCCTAGCATTGATGTGGTGTGGGATGACGGACCGTCCCCATCCCTTAACTAGCACAGGCTACTCTCTTCCGTGGACTCCTTGCTTTGAACTCGTATTGTGACACAGTGAGGAATACGTCGAAAGTACCTTTAGATACCTATGTTAAAATAATGTCACTGAAAAATTCCATTACTTTATTGTATTGACTTATGTATAAAAATTGTATTGGATGGATCGCGTCGAGGCTCTGCATGGACGATTCTCGCACTGGTAAAGGCAGCTATTTTGCATGAGTTTGGATGTCCTCAAAGCAGGACTAGGATATTATGTCGACAACATAACATTATGCAATGTGGTCGGCTCTCTATCCAAAAATGAGACTTAGTAATATATATTATCTATACACTGTTGTGAGAATAGCTCCAAGCTACCTGTGTTATTGAGTGATCTGATAAATTAAGCAATAAGCCTTATGCATGAGAATAACATAAAATGTAAAATATGATTTTACAGTGCCCTATTTTGAGTTGTTAAAATTTGGCCATAACTTGGACTTAGTACTGAAATACGAATCTATTTTCATACTAAGATTAACTGTGACGTAATTTGCTCTAGGTCGTGATCCAATTAACTCGCGTTTTGAGTGATGCCAAAGTGGCTAAGCAGACTCATATATTTCACTGTAGTGCTACTACACTGCTGCTGCTGTAATGCTTCCACTGCGCCAAGTGATACACGAACACTGCGACAACAAACTTGTACTTATGCTGGTATAAACAAGAGTAATCCATGTTACATTTTTAAACTTAATTATTCCCAGAAAATCTGTTAAGTATTTCAAAAAATGGCTGGTCCAATACTACCACTAAACTCACTCAGCATAAGTACAAATTTCTTCTGAATAAGCTACATTTAATTTGAAAGAAAGCATGTAGCGGCTTGATTTAATATGACATGACATTATTTATATTATTCCAATGTACATACCTTACTTAATTAAAATACACCATATCTAGATATGTATTATGGATGCTAGCATAAGATGGTTGTATTTAAAATGTAACTGTACAGCCAACAATTGAGTGTATTCTGTACTGATGTAGCATTGGATGGTATTCTTCAAGGAAAAAGAGGAGACCATTGATTATTGACACAATTACATACAATTTGTATACATTGTGACTTACATAGAAGATAACCAAAACATTTTGTAAGCAAATTAAACCTGTTATAATCGTTTATTGTTTTGCTTATCTAAAATTTGTCTGTGTGAATATCAATAGTGAATATCATAATATTGACTACCATTTACAAATTATAATGAATAATTTCAATATTGTCTACCTACTACTTGTTTGACACTCCAGAGAGTACTTGTATAATTTTATTTCTTAATTTCTTATGTAGTGATTATTGTAATTTATATTTGGTCAGATTAATGTAAAATAGCTGTACACATTAGTTTCACATTATAAAGAATATATTGAAAGATATTTTCAGTTAGTCATAAATAGTGTAACATGCTTTTCTAATTACAATTTGTTGGTTTTATTTTTAATTTTCATTATGATACAGTCTGAAGGCTATGTAAAATTGAAATCAGTATTCAAACAATAATCTGATAATCCTGTTTCGCGCCCTACCAAGTAGTTAAAATATATAAAACGAGAGAATCGTGTGAATATCAGAACCTGTTACTGTCATTTTCAATAGTGAGGTGAAGTTGCTCTCTCACGAAAGTGAAGGCTCTTAGGTAGTCTATATAGCAACTAGTTCTAAGTGTGATATTACAGAAAGCTTTGATAATAGTTTAGAACAGAAATAGTGAATAATCAAATAATGGAAGAAAATATGTAAGTTTATTACACAAAACTTAATAAATAACGGCACGCCTTTTAATCCTCAAAGCTGTTAGCTTCACCATTTATGAACACTTTCATACATAGAAAAGAATGTAGGTCTATACCTACATAACGATAAAGATGGTTCAGCGACGGGATGGACGTGTTGATGGATAGACCAAATAAATTGTGTAAATACGTGCCATTACTGTAAATATATATTTTATCATCATATCCGTTATCGTGATAATTGTGCTTCGCAAGCTACCTTGAAACGTCTATTTTGGGCATAAAAGCTGCTTATTGCTCACACTTAAAATTATACTAGCTTTTGCCCGCGACTTCATCCGCGTGGAATATGACTTCTGGCAGAATTTGAAATTTTTCTTTTCCGGAACTTTTATAGCTGTACCTATTCAATTTCATCAGAATCATTTCAGTCTTGGTAAGTACTTCAAAGTTCAAGTTTTCTTTAATGTGAGATAGAAATATACTTACGTAGCTACTAGACTAGGTACTTTCTTTTCCGGGACTATAACTAAATTTCACCCAATTTTAAACTGTCAAATACCAAGCGGTCACCGGTGACCGCAACCTATTGTTCTATAATTGTGTCTGCAAAACCGGTACTCGACGAGTTAATTATGTAGGTTGGCGTTCGATGAGGAGGACCAAGGAGTAGGCCTCTGCCGATTCGGAGTCGCGGAGAACCTAACGGGTTACCGGGGCTCCGGCTCGACGTGCAGGAGAAGGAACGGGGTGGTTTTTAGTCAGTAAGAGTCTGACTCTCCCTCCCGCCTTACCCAGGTGGGAGCAGCCGTTCGATGATTTTACCCCTTAAAAAAAGGAGTAGGCCTCTGTTCAGCTGTGGACGGCTTCCGGCTGTCTTCTTTCTTCTTGTCGTCCCAAATCGTTCAAGTGCCTGAAAAGATAAAGTAACGCTACCGCTAGTGCAACCCCTATTCCTCTTACTCTCCTCTAACCTATTCTTTGCCAGAGTGTATTTCCGGGTTTAATCTGGGAGTCTTCAAGGTCCGAATGAATAGGATGCTTATGGGACGAGTCCTGTGTGATGGAGCGGAATGATCGAATGACTCCTCCCGCCTCACCCAGGCGGGAGAAGTCATTCGATGATTTTCCCCCCTTAAAAATATAATCCGGTCCGGCCCAGTTTAAGCTATTTTGAGCATGTGTTACTTTTGGCTTCACAATTAACTAATGTTCGGCTTGCTTCTCCTTATGTCAGTGAGTTGTAGGAATAGTCTATTTTTTTTTAAAGGGGGGAAAGCCATCGAATTGCTGCTCTCGCCTGGGTGAGGCGGGAGGGAGTGCCAGACTCTTACTGACTAAAAACCACCCCGTTCCTTTTCCTGCACGTCGAGCCGGAGCCTCGGTAACCCGTTAGGTTCTCCGCGACAGGAATAGTCATAGTGTCGCCTTCTACAGTTTCTAGTTGTAGAACAGAAATATTCGTTTTTATAATAACTGTCGTGAGCGTGACATGACACATACGTTAATAAAGAAATATTCGTGTTGAATGTAACCATAAGAAATGACTACCTATAAAATAAAATGAATGTGACCAGTGATATCCAGTGAATGATTATTAGCGCCTCTAGCGTCAAAATTGTGTAGCCGCTAAGAACGACACAGACAGTTTCGTCACATAAAAATTTTAGATAAAAAGTTTATTTATTAAATATAAATCAGATTTATGTGGTTTCTTCTATATAAATATTTAAGTAAATTGCAAAATTAATAAATGTAGAAGAACAGTCTCAGCGCAGTCTAATATTATTTTTATGTTTTTACATTTTTGGATTCAGGTGAGTAACTCACCTCCTCAACTCACTCACGTGTCAATTCCGTATCAAATTCGTTTGACAAACTTGTTTGATGAAATTCACGTTTTCGCCAAACAACAGCGCAGACGAACAAACTTGCATCAAACAAGTTTGTCAAACAATTTGCCAGAATCAGCTTTTTCCTCGTCGTGACTCGACGTCGTTGTGATGCGTCCTTAAAATGAGCAACATAAATAAACGACGCATTTTCGGTGTTGACTCTACTCTATCTATACCCACGAAAATTTGCTTTCAGAATCAGAAATAAATCAATAAATAAACACATAATATAACGACATGCCTTTTATCCCCGAAGGGCTAGGCAGAGGTTCACATTACGGCACTTAATGCCACTGTACAATGTAATACCCACTATTTATGTTATGAGCCCCATGTAATAGGGGGTGAGCCCATTGCCATATAGGTACTGGGCACAATTTAATTCCAGACTCCGTGCTACTACTGAGAATTAAAAAAAACAATAATACGTTGCCTGACCCGGGAATCGAACCCGAGACCCCTTGCTCGGCAGTCGCACTTGCGACCACTCGGCGAACGAGGCAGCAATCTCCAATATATTTGTAATTTTTTATCCATGTAATCCTTAGATTTTATTTTCCACAAAACGGCATATCTCGGTAAATTGATATAATATGTAGCGTAAATTCTTTATCTGACATTTTGTCCATGCTGCCGAGATTCGCGATGCTGCCATTCGAACTCGAAGTACCCGTTACGTCCTCCATGGTGTCCGAACAGCAAATGAGATCTTGTTTGACAAACACAGCGGAACACGTCCAAACACGTTTGTCGAACGCTACGTCAATCAAAATTCTCTTCAAACAGAAACTGCCCCACGCTGAGTAAGTAGAGTACTTAAAGTTTTAATTCCTTGGCCTAAAGCGCCCTGTAAACGATCAAATTGTTTGTCAAATTTTACGTGTTTATCACCCACCACTCAGCGTGGGGCACATTATTATTAAAATAATTAAAACATGTCTGCCTATTTATACCAAACAAATCACCAATGGCTCTAAATGACATATTTTGTATAATTTTTACCATTGTCAAAATAACCCTGTCTCTCAGAGATAACATTTTCTTGTTTGTTGGAGTATTTAAGGCCAATTTAATAAAACAAGTCACCAATATTTCTAAAAGTTCAATTGAATGAATACCCGTAAAAGTAAAAAAAAAAAATACATATCACTGCTGAGTAAATCTGAGAGGGTTAACTGCTTTACAGCTGATTTTTCCCGTTTCCATACAGGAAGCTTTATTTGATTCATAATTTGGTCTTTTGGAAATAAATGAACTTTTTACTGAATCTCCGTAAGTATAATATTGAGGAACGCAACAATATTTAGTGGTTCTGCTTTTATTAAAAACAGGTTTCTGTTTGTAATCGTGATCTATTTGATTATGTTTAAACCCTACTCGAAATCAAAGTGTCGTTCCTAGACAACTTCTAAATTTCGCCGCTAGAGGCGCGCGAATAACTTTGAATCTCCGAATCGCCAATACTACTGAGTGAGTGACTGAGTGATTTGCTGAGTGATATGTCAACAAAGAGTACCTACCTACCTGAAGGTAATACGTCAATGTCAATTCAAATCTGAAGTTGTAATTGCTTGTTTGTAAGCATATAACCTATTATTTATTAGTTACTTAGTTAGTAGTTACCTATAATGAATGAAACATCTTGTATGATAATTATTGTATTGGTGGCTCAGTGAGTGAGTACCTGTACCAGAAACAAGCACACCATGCCACGGGAACAAAATATGGATTACCAAAAATATGCATTTGAGTACGATCCCGTAAAAGTAGGATCTATAGACGGTGAGTTTTCATGTAATTGTTTCCATAATTACGTTATCTTTAGGTTATAGTTGTTAGTAGTAAGGTTATTAATATATCTGGAGGTGTTTCGGTCAACGAGTAATACGAGTAACCTCGTCTCCGTTCAACTAGCGACCTGAATGATTTGTTATTGTCTAGGTTAATGAAAAGGTTGGATTTTAGTGGTGAATATTTTGTTAATGTCTTTAGTTGGAGGGTGATGGAATTATTATAAGAGTTAAAAACCTCTCAGAATAGTGGGACTGGTACAACTAATCATCATTCACTACTACACCATATACAACTACAAAAACTGCGACAGGTCTTCAATTAAATACTTAATTATATTGAGCTAGTGGTTGGTGCAGCTTATAGTGTTTACATGCCATCAGGAATTGATCATAATCAAAATCTTTAGATCAATATTGGTTTTTGACAGAAACTATAAAATTAATCTCAAAAATCAAGCACAAACTGAATATTTTAGATTGAATGATTTGAAGATGGCAGTTGTAATAGTAATACAAGAAATAATGAAATAAAATTTATTGAAATGACTTGTATCTCTTTCACTAGGTACAGATACTGAGCCCCATGATCGTGCAATAGTACGGGCTTTGCACTCTGAATACTCTCCTAATAAGCTAGTGAAGGGGAATCCTAGCAATACACTATTCATCGGCAGACTTAACCCTAGGACTACTGAAGTTTGTATATCTTTCATTACAAAATGTTTTTATTTGGAAACTCAGTTTGTCACATTTTTACACATACTTAGGTGTGATGTTATGTTAATCAATTGAGTCATCTTGTTTAATTTATTGACAACATAAATAATTATTTCAAAACTAACAGAAGTGCTTGTTTGATTTTATTTCAGGATATACTGACATCTGAGTTTAATAAATTTGGCAGAATACTTAAGTGTCGTGTTGTGAGAGACATAGTTACTGGCAAGTCAAAGCAATATGCTTTCATTGAATATGAGAGTGTAGGAAGTGTGGAGAGGGCTCTAAAGGAGTTGCAGAAGGAGTACCTCGATGGTTCAGAAATGATTTTGGAACGTGAAGCAGAACGCCGGTTGCCTGGATGGCGGCCACGGCGATTAGGGGGTGGCTTCGGTGGACGAAAAGAGTCTGGTCAACTTAGGTTTGGATGTCAAGACAGGCCCTTCAGAAAACCTATCACAATCATACAAAAGATCAATAACAAACCAGACAGGAGGTAGCAACAATGTATGATTTAATATACAGAGTGTACAATGTCTTACCAGTGACCCATGTCATGTACTTGTTTGTATATTGTGTTAAAATAACATGTATTACATAAAAAAATATAAAGGTTAAGATCTAAATGGTCATGGACATCACCTGTCAATCACAAATTCACAAAATGAGAATTTATATTAAATGATGTGTTATGTGTGCTGTAAGGAGCTGAAGGGTTGGTTCAAGTCGTTTACTCGGACTGAGGGACTCCTCACCATCCTAGAGGCTGTCCTCCTTGTTATATTTATTGGGTTTTTTGTGTTTTTGGTTCTACACTTTGTGGCTTGCCAAATTCATCTTGACGATGCGAAAAATGCAACTGAAAATAGCACAGTGCCCACTGTAACGACAACCGCCAGCCCTATCGTAACTAGTACCCTGTCACCAGACGTGGAGTGTACGTGGGAACCTTCTCAGAAAACTACTGCGCACACGCGTTACTACGTGTCTGACAGCTACACAGCGGATGTTGGCCACCACACCCCAGGAAGGAGCACCACCACTAAATATTTAGGAATATTTGACGAGGCTTTAAGACCGTCACATTACTATGACGAAGACGAATTTTTAGAAAATTCCGACGGTGAACCTGCCGGTGATATATATAAAAACCAGGTTTTAGCCTTGGTCAAATTTAAACCTCCCAGGGATGTGACGTTCGGCTGCATTTTAACGAAGATTACACAATTTTGGACATTGACTGCTGCTAGTTGTATCGCGTCCATCGAGGAAGTGGACTCGCTGGACTCGTTTATTATGATAGAGCAGTTCGGCGAGGCGGACCAGTCGCCGCCGCGCCACGTGGCGGCCGTGCGCCTGCACCCGCGCTACCAGGGACACTCGCGCGCGCACGACCTGGCCGCGCTGCGCTCGGCCCGGCCACTGCGCGCGCGTGCGCCTCTGTTGAACCTGCCGCACATGCTCGACTACTTTCTCATGGCTCTGGGGGAGAGGCTCCTCATTCTCGGTTACGGAGGATACAGGTAACTCGCTTGACACAATACCTAGCTAGGGTCAGCATGACCGGCTGAGACTGTCCATTATTGAAATATAATTAAAGTGTGTAATAAACTATACAAAGCAGTTTTTTTTTATATTGCAGGACAGTGGATAAGGCAGAAGTACGACGACTACGTCAAGTATCAGTGTTCGTGACGGCTACTGCAGCGTGCGGGGGCGCGGGCCCGCCGGGCTGGGCGCGGCGGCACCTGGCGCGCGGGGCCGCGGTGGCCGACAGCGCGGCGTCGGGCGCGGCGCCGCTGTGCGCGGGGGCGCGCTGGGCGCGGGGCGCGGCCTGCAACTACTGCGCGGGGGCGCCGCTGGTGCGCGGGGGCGCGCTGCTGGGCATCATGAGCGACAACAGCGAGTGCGGCGTCACCTGCGAGCCCCAGCTCTTCGTAAACCTTGCCGCCCTGCGCGACTGGATCGATAACTTTGCCGACTAATCATTTAAAATAAATTGTACCTTAATTTTAAACGTCCTATACTTTTATTTGTAAATAAATTTTGAAAATAATATACCAATTAAATTATTAAATAAATACAAGTCGTTTTCATTTAATTTTGTTGACCACATAGCTGAATGCTACTCATGAATATGTCTCCTTCGCCTCTAGCAAGGCTTTAGTCGAGTTCCTCGTCAAATAATTACGTGAGTAAGCCGAAAAACATAATATTGACCACATAGCTGTTGCAGATTTGTTTGTGAATTTCAGATCGTTGTTAACATTTGGGATCCTATATTCTTCTTCTATCTTAGAAGCCTTTCTGAGAATGCAATGTTACTACTTAACAATTCTAGAACGAATGGTACCTGCTTAGTTTTTGATTTTTCCTAAAGCGAGCCTATTACTTGCTTGCGTACAACAGAAAATTACTAAAATAGCTAAGTATTGTATCGATAACAGTGAAGAACGAAAATGTTTCCAGCTTCCAAGAGATCTATTTTGTTTTACTCACGACGACGGAACAAAGACTGTATACCAATGCGGTTGATTTGGTGTTATGGTATATTTGAATTAATAATTTATTGTGACAACACAGTGAAACGTTTTCTTCTAAAAAGGCCCGGTGTGGCACGACCAGGCACGACGTACGCGCGACATAGGGACATCAAACCTCCTATACTTATTATACTCTTTGCGGCAAACACTGGCAAATACCAAATTCAGCGAACGTAGCGCGGGCATAGACTAGCTGGCACCTCTGGAATGACACTTAAATGACTTTTCAGTTCAATTAGTTCTTTCCAATTTCAGCGATGTTGTGTGATCAGAACGTTTTATACGCTGTGATATCTGTCTCGAGTCTATAGTGTGTCCCAACAAGGGATTGTTGATTATATCTCTGTTTATGGCGGTGTTCGTCGTGTGCACTCTCGGCGCCGCCATCCTCCAGATAATGGGCGCTGCGGAGGGAAAAATGGAACACGAATCCGAAGATCCTGAAGATCAAACAGAAGAAAGTATCGATGAGCTAAGCGAGGCGCCCCCTACCAAGCAGACAGGACTATCGCCGCAGCCCCCGAGCTCGCCCCGCGCGCTGTCCATCCCCATCATCTCCCTGCTGGACGGAGGCAGGCGACTGGCCGCGCTCACGCCGAGAGACCGGGGACCAGACACGGAAACTTCCACGACATAGCATGCAGCTCCGTTATTATGACATATCTCATCCAATACTTCCTTGGTACCTATATGGTAAACCGGAATTAGAGCCTGCTTGCAGCTATTTATGTTAGGTACATGCACTTCATAATGTCCACTTGATATCAGCTGTATAATATGTAAGATCTTCGGCATATGGCGTTGTTGCAGACTCCTGCGTACCTCGACGACAAAGTATTAGCAACGACATCACAAGACATCAAAATAATTGAAATAAAACACTCCATAAGCATAACATAAACATTTTATTAAATATTTTCCATATGTTTTGAATTACTATAATTATAATACAATGTTAAGCAGACGCGTCCCCGTCTGTCTTCATTCCAATATACATATAAACCGACACTGTGCTTTTATACAAATGACGCGTATCCTTGTCTTACTAAGGCATTTATTGTTTTATACATGCGCCCCCCCTCCCCCCTCCCCACTAGTCGCACGCTATACACGCTATGCAGTGGACACTGACCCACTCGCTACAGTACACGGTACCGACACCTAAATCTAGCTATGACTAAAGGAAAATAAATTGACAACAAAGCGATAGAAATAATAAGAAAAGTGCATCTACATAATTAATTTATAAAATATTGCGTCAAATCAAAATACCATCAGTTCATAACCATAACATAATTTAAAATAAAAATATTTTCTTAACAATTGAGTATACAGAGCGAGAATCAGAAATAATTAGAAAAGAGTACTGAAGAAGGCCGGAGTGTCTGTAGGGCTGTACAGTCGTCAGTAGGGGCGCTAGATGCCGGAGTGCTCGTACGGGTCGCGCTCGGCCTCCGCCGCGGGCGCCTCGTACACACCGCTCTGTAAACATCCCTTATTGAACCATCCGAATCAACTGGACACTTTTTACTTGTATTCATATTTTTCGAGACTAAATTACGCTAGTCGCTGATAAAATGACTTGTATATTAACTTGCTACATTATATTACTGGTACGCAATAGGTGCTGGCTTACTGTTAGTGGCCGTTGGGCAGGGCGTCCGCCTCCTGGCAGCGTGTGTGACAGGAACTTGCATTAGTACGATATCATGACTACCTACGACTGTACAGCGCGTCGTGTACGTGCCTACAATAGGACAATGCGTCTACCAGTTTAAGGCCCGAATTCCTCTGTCGCTACGCGTACGAGTTGCTACGCGCTGTTCGTCGGTCGACTGACGCGCTATAGGACGCTATGAGCGTCCTCACTCTGCTCCCGACCGTCGGCACGCGCGCGTACAGTCGCCCGCCACCATGAACATTGATACCGAACGTGTGATTGCCGAGGTGCGCCTACGTCCTGACAGTTCATCAAAGTTTTTACTTTCATTCTAAAATACCTAATTTAAAAAAAGTCCTCGTCCTGACGTAGCTTTTCAAATAAAGTAGAAAATTCACCATTCGTCATCCTAGCAACTAAACAATTTATAAACGGGTTCATAATAATATCCCAAAGTCAAACTCCGCTTCACAAATCCACTTGGAGACGCCTGTACCATGCGGTCAGTATCGCACTACGGATGTTTTCATTGGCGCTGATGGTCAGCGCGCTACGCGACTGACGGTACGCGACTGACGGTACGCGACCGACGTCAGCGACAGAGGAATCCGGGCCTTACGCAAACCTCAAGAATATAAGTTCGCCTTAACATAATTATGTAATCTCCAAGTTTCAAAGTCGGAAATTAAACTAAGTTAAAACTAAATACAAAACATACTTGCTACTTGAGGAATTCGTACAAGGTAAGTGCCGAGTAGCGATCTAATGATCTATTATCTCGGATCGACTGTTTACAATAATGCATGTACCTCGTCTGGATCCACGTCAGGGATAGGGGACGGGGGAGGAGTCTCCGAGTATGACGGGGTGGGGGAGGGAGGGATCATCACTTGGACAGCTTCCGGACGTTCTACTTCTAGCTCCCATAGGTCGGCGGTAAGCTATGTTAAACGATTCCGCTGATAAATATATGTCATATTATTTGTAACAGGAGGGTGTGTCAGGCAATTCTTCTATTCGACGCTATACAGATAATGATGTTTAATTCATTACCGATTTGGGAAATATTATTTGTAAATATTGGCAAATTGTGTCGCATACAATGAGCTTAATATAGGTATATCACAAGCAGCGCTGCGTACCTGCGGCAGTGGCGCGGGCACGAAGTAGCTGGGCGGCGGCTGCAGCGGCACGCTGGGGCCCAGCACGGCGGGGGCCGGCGCGGGGCCCGCCCCGGGGGCCGCGCCGCCGGGGTTCAGCACGTCCACGTACGACTTCTTGATGTCTGCACACGACCAGGGCCCCAACCATTATTCTATGCCAATGACTAATACAATAACATAATATTTCGTATAATATGGCACAAACTACTCACGTCTTCCTTTCTGCATTTTGAATATGTTAGAGACGGGAACGGAGGGCGGAGCGCCGGCGGCGGGCGGAGGAGGAGACGTGCTCCTGGAGAACGAGATACCACTTTATGTGCCTGCGTCACTACATATAGTGTGTCCAGTAAATAGTACGACATTTTGCGGGAAGTGAAAGCTAGGATAAATACATACCTACCAGACCTACCAATGAATACAGTAATTATAACATAACATAACATCACGCCCTTTATCCCCGAAGGGGTAGGCAGAGGTGCACATTAAACCACTGTATAATGTAACACCCACTTTTCACTATTTATGTTATGAGTCCCATGTAATAGGGGGTGAGCCTATTGCCATATACCGGGCACAATTCCAGACTTCGTGCTACTACTGAGAATATTTAAAAACCCAGTAATACTTTGCCCGACCCGGGAATCGAACCCGAGACCCCTTGCCCGGCAGTCGCACTTACGAACACTCGGCCAACGGGGCAGTCATTATCTACGAATAATTTATTGTAGAAAAGTTAATAATAAAACCATTTTTACATAGATATGCTAATAGATCTGTGTCGAAGTAGTGATTTTTCAAGATTTCCGCTAATTTGGTATAACCTTGAAACCATAGAATTTCGCTGAACATATTATATACGGTGTAATACAGGAATGGGCGTCCGATTCTTAAAATTTTAAAATGTATGACCAGTTTTCAAGTAACTAGTGCAAACTGATTATTAGATATGTTTAATCCATCCTCAAGAGTAAAAAGTTAAGAAATGACCTCCTCTATGGCCTATGTTACATTTGATCCATACTTCTAGGGAATGTATGTAATGTATCGGGTTGTATTACTTGTATGTCGTGAAATTTACTAGACACCTGTATAATTATTAGCTCATGGTTTACACACAACATTGTAACTGTTGAAGCCGCAACGTCATCTGCGTTTTTATAAAAGTAGCCTGTGTTACTCCTTAATATATTAACTACTTGCCAATTAAAGTTCCGTCGAAATCGGTCCACTTATTTCAGAGATTAGTACTGGTACAAACAGACAGACAGACAAAAATTGCAAAAAGTGTTATTAGGTATATGTATCGTATGTATATTCATTTGCATGTAGTCAAAATCGGTTATTTCAATATTATAAACTGACAGTCTAACTTCATTAAAAGCTAGCACCAACGTGTACCTGCTGTTATATGTTCTAGTGGATTCATCTATTAGTTTGGTACAATAGGTACATGATCTGACTAATATTATAAATGCGAAAGATTGTAAGTTTGTGCATTTGTCTGTATCTTTGTTACTCAATCACGTCAAAATGGCTGAAGGGAACGAGGTGAAATTTGAAATTGGGTGCTTTTTAACGCACGGGACCACGGGCGAAGCCGCTGGCAGAGCTAATTATATTATACACATTGTAAAGTTACGTTCTGCAAAAACAAACATCGAGTGTCGCTGTCCACTATAAACAGACGCGACTTCACTCGAGCGTCGAGTCGTTCGAGTCAAGGAGCAGTATGTCATAGTGCGAGGGAGGAGTACTGACTGCGGGCCGGGCGGCGGGCCGGACGGCGGGCCGGGCGGCTGGCCGCGCGGCGGGTCGCGCGGCGGCGGCGGCGGCGGCGCGCTGTCCTCGCTGTCGCCGTCCAGGTTGCGCCACCGCTTCGTCTCCGCGTCCCACACGATCTGACACACGTCAATGTATATATACTAGTGTATGCGCACTCCCTGTCACCACGAGCTACGACTCACCACTTGCCAGTCAATGGTGACGCAGACCAGTGCCACACGAATCTGTCACAACTTCTTTGTTTAACCGCTACATCCGTGTAATATAATAAACAACTCAGCGCGGGGAATAGCTTTATTAAATACATACATAGTTACATATAAATAAAGTAGATGAGATAGACATACCGGCACAACCTACGTGAGTGAAAAGTATATATGTAAATAGAATATAAACCCATCACAAGAAGTATGAATGAATACATCGAGCGTGCAGTGTACGGTGACAACAAACTGCACGACCCACCGCGGACACTGCTCTACATGTACATACGTAATAATAAATATATGCAATACCAATATAATATATAGCTCATTGTAGCCGTGCCAACATAGCTGCAGGGGGGGCAATAATGTTGTATGTGTTATAGAAATATATTAAATGAAATTATTATTAAATACATACAATACATAATATACATACATAGGTAGAAAGAAGCTTACACACAGTGCAGTTTTTATTTTAATTACTACACACATGTTTATACACAATTAATATACTTCCTTTCTTCTCCTAAGCGTAACGAAGACTTCTGAACTGAACACTTTAAACTGAGAACCTCCTTATATTTTATTTTTGAAGTCGGTTAAACATAATCTCCACTGTCGACAGTAACACATGTATTTTGTATGATACATAATGTCGGCATCCACTCCTCAACCTTTATTACAGACATCGGATTATTATCTATGCATTTGCATCGTCGCATATTCAAATGCATATTTTTGTATTTTCATTATAGCATTATTGCATATTTTGGTACATTTTTATTATCAATGCTTATTTCAGTAAAAGAAATAATAGAAGTAGAAAAAAAACATAGAAAAGAATAGAGCAAAACACAAAAAACTAACACATAAAAAGTAAAAAGAAACGTCACAAGTTTGCTGTAGAAAATAAAACCTAGAAAAATATATTATTGTTTACTGTCACAAAAATTTTGATTTCCTGCAGCAATTATCTATAATGAATCCCTAACTGTGGCGAAGTATCGATACGTTACGCTAGAGCAGGGTGGGCGCGGGCGAGCGGGGCGAGCGGGGCGAGGCACTCACGGTGGGGTTCTTGTCGTCGGGCAGGATCATCTGGTTGGGCGGCCGCAGCGACAGCTTGGTGAGGATGCCGCCCAGCCAGCCGCCCTTGCTGGCCTTCCCGTCCTTGCCGCCCTCCGCCTTGGGCTTGTCCTCCTGCTTCTTGTTGCTCGGAGTCTTCGCAGGCTCCGTGTCGGGCTCCTCGTCCTGCCGGGCGCGTGCACGTTAAGGGCTGGATAGTTCGAGGGTGGCATGTACAATGTATGAAGCGTACTCACGTGCGCGGCCGAGTCTGCGCGGCGGGAGCCCGGCATACTGATCTGCGGCGCCTCGCCCTGCCACACAACGCTACGTTATACACGCGCCCTCGGGGCCAGGCACTCGGCGAGACCTCTCACATCGACCATATTTACATAATTATCATTAATACCACATCATTGCTAATGTGAGTAAAACATTGCACAATCAAAGTCGGACGATTACATCGTTGATACCCGTGGAAGGCAGCAAATGAACATCGTACCTCGGCCTACGAGGTGACGGTAGTGCAACACTGTACACCCGACACTAGCGTCACGCCGCCAGACACGAGGTAGCCGCGAGTGCACGCAGTCGTTACATAAGCCGAGTACCGACACACGACAGACTATGCTGATACTGTACCTGGGGGCCATGCTCACTGATTGTGCTTCAGTTGGTGATGGAAAACACAACATGTTCTTCATCAATATTTAATTGCTTGTAAACTTTTACTACAAATTGATTACATACATGTATCATTCTAATGGATTAATAACAATAACACGAGTTAAACTTAACGACAATGTAATATATTAAACAAGTATACATGAAGTAAATAATAAATAAGATATTATATAACGTGAGACGGATCAAATCATACGATTTAGTGGGTAACATATTAGACTCGGCGTTGTTAAATAGCATTCTAAGGTCAACAAATATCACAGCATAGTGGAGATTCAGTTATTAAACATGCTGGGCGGCGGCGGCCTATATGTAGGGCACCGGCTCGTCTATGTCGTAGGTTTTAGGCCCCGCCACGTAGTACTTGGCGTCCGTGTCGCGCGGCATGGCCTCGGGCGGCGGCTCGCCGGGCCCCATGGGCTCGTCTATGGCGAAGGTGTCGCGGCGCCGCGCCAGGATGGCTTCGAACCGGTCCAGGCTGCGCTCGATGGTCTCCCGCAGCCGGCGCCGGTGCGCGGCCCCCGCCGGCCCCGCGAACCCCGCGGGCCCCGGCAGCGCAGGGCGGGGCGAAGCGCG